CACAAAACTGAACCAACTTATCTCTTTTTTTTTTTTTGAAACGCACAAATGTTGGCTACTTTTCTCGTGGTTCTAGAAAAAATCTCAAAATAGTGTTTTATTCCAAAGTTCGAGTGGTAGTTAACCTCATTTTAACTGCTCGAATGAAGTGGTTAATTCTATCCATTCTGTTGATTGGCAGAATTGTTCAAAACGGTTTGAACACGTTTTTACTACGCTCCAAACTTCTCAGGTGAGTGTGATCATTGTCGGCAGCCTCTTTTTCTTCGGCAACCTTTCTAATTGAACTGCGTGTTAAACAGCTGTTCTATTATCAGCAACTCGAAATCAGTCGTATTTTTTAGTGAATATTTGAAGAAAATTATCAATCCTGGGGCAATTTTTGACGGAAATTTTCAGGATATTTCCAAGTGCATTACAAATTACAAGGAAATGGAATACCAGCATGGTCCATATCAGCAAAAGATGTCTATAGGAAAAAAGTTACGGCAACTTATTATGTATGCATATATTCGGAAAATGAGGAAATGTTGATTTTTACAAAACTAGAACCCTTTCGAAAAAAAAATATTAAGTTCAAAAGGTAGCTGCCGCCAAGCTGTCAGTAGTTGTGAGATTAAAACTGATAGCTTGCGGAGATCCATCCGAGAAGAATACAAAGAGAGAATACTCATTCGACTTCAGAAGTCATTGAGACTTCCTTTCCTTTCCTCATTCACGGCAATTTTTTACAGAGTTCTCCCGGAGATACTTTCTGGCTTTTCGTAGAAGTCTATCAAAACTTCCTCCAGAAATGTATGTCATCTTAGTCGGAAGTTTCTACCGGTTTCCTCTGGAAGTTTCTTTAGGCTTCTCCGGAAAGGAACGTATGATTTCTCCCGGAAGTATCGTCCGAGATACTTCAAAAAATTTCCGAGGCAGTTTTCTTCCAACTTTCGTCCTCCAATGTTCCTCGGAAGCTTCGCCTAGCTTATCACTATGGAGTATGGAAGTGTCTTTCGACCTATTTGCCTCGGTAGTTTCATCTGTCTTTTCCCAGAAGACTTTTCCGACGTCTCCTCGAAGTTTTTCTGGCTTCCCCTGGATGTATTTTCCAAGTTCCACTGGAAGTTTTTTCAGAGTTGCATCGGAATCTGCTTCTCTGATGTTTCCTCTAATATCCCCCGGTGCCCCGTAACGTGGGTAGATCACCTTTTCGTGGTACGCTACGGGATGTAAAATCTACCACCGATTCCTAGTCCTGACTACTTCAAACTAGGGGAACAGGATTTTTCAGTAATCCGAGGAACACATCTTAGTCCTTGTTACTTGTTATGCCTTGTTAATAGTGACAAGACTCGGCTTTATCCACCGAGGATGATCTTGAAACAAGGAAAAAATGACTAAGTTAGTCTTTGTGATTCCTAATCTTCTATTCGTTGTTCCCTAGTTTGAAGTGGTTAAGACTAGGGTTCTGATGGCTGGATTTTTTAGGAATTTTTCAAGTTGAAAATTTTCTAGACTTCCCTGGACATATAGTATGATTGTACTTGACCGGCTTAGACTGCCGATAAAAGCATAACAGTCCCAGGGAGGTTTTTTTTTGTCAGAAAATAGTTATCCATTAGGACGATTGTAAACTACCGGCATTTTACATTGTGCACTAAAAGTTACATGTTTTGTTCAGAAAATATCGTAAAAATTAATAAAGCTAGGTTGTCCCATCAATAAGGGGTCATACTTAAATTATGTCACGCCAAATTGAGGAATCATTGAGCAGCTCTCCCCCCTTTCGGCACGTTTTTCCTATACCTAATGCATTGCTTGTCACAAAATCTTACAATTCTCCTCCCTCCTTAGACCGTGACATAATATGTGCATCACCCCTAAAAACATGCTGAGAAATAAATTGTCAACAGCGTTTTATCAGTGAGGGAGTAGCTCAGTCGGTAAAGGCGCAGCTACAAAGTAAGGGGTCGAGCCCTAGTAACAACAAGTTGATCGGAAACTTTACAATACATTATTTTGTGATATAAGTAGCTCGGCGCCCTAGTGGCGACTGATTTTTCTTACTAAGCAGAAGACCGTGGGACGCTCCTTCACGCTATTGAATCGTTAGGACATCAATTCAGCATATCGTTTACCAAAACGAATCCTGCTGCAATCCCAACACTTTTATCCAATATCCAAGTGATCAACATATTCCTACCCATTCCTTTCTTGACCAGCATTCGGACGGGGCTGGTGCTGGTATTGCCTGGTTTTAGATCATCAGTACTTACACATTGAGGATGATTGCTAGTTCAAAGCAAAGTCTTTTGGCTCTCTGTGTAATAACAGTTGATCTGGTAATAACGGAGTTGCATTCACAGGCGGTCAATCATGCTCATGGTCATGGAAAATTTCTCGAAAATCACAAGCGTCCAGGGTTCTAAGTATTCCAAAAGCTTGCATTTTTTTCTTTTAAAAAAATTAAAATTTGAAGATATGCTTTTTGAAGTATTATGGGTCTTAACACCTTTTTTGAATTTTTGCTCAAAATAACAAAAAAAATAACTATCGTTTATATTTTTCCCAGAAAGACTTTATTTTTTTCAACAATTTTGTGTCAGGCGTCATTTCGATCAATAGCGCCGTTTACGTGCTTCAATTTATTGAAAAATGTCAAAGATGCCATTTTGAAAAAAAAAAAATTCCCAAAATCCAAAATGGCCGAATTTTTGCAAAAATGTGAATGATTGCCACATAACAAACAATTATGCAAAGCTTCATGGTCGAGTCAAAAATTATTATTTTTTGTTATATTGTTATCGGAAACATCTTCGACCTTTTTTTTTTTTGCTAAAGCTTCATCTCCAGAAACTTTAAGAGTTTAGCCGCAATGTATCAATATTAGAGACCTTGAAATTTGGTGGCATTTGAAGTTACTCATAACGTAACCATTTTCAAGACTCACTCTTGGTGTCGACAGTTTTTCTCAAACTCATATTCACTTCTGTAAATAATGGATAGCACAAAATAAAATGCTGAAGCTCAATCACAAATATTAGTGGCAAGTTGCGACGTACGATTTCTCCCTTCAAATTCATTCGTTGAACGCAGATGCTAGCTTACATTGAAAGCTGAGTATTTTGTTTAACATGCTGAAACATTCTAATCTATCATTCGAGTTTGCACCAACCGGCATTCAGAGAACGTTTTTCATATTCTTTCAGTTTCTCACTTGTTTCTACTGTCATTTTCGTATCTATCGTATATTCGTACCCGTTTAGCTATCTTTTGGCATCCTTGGATCCGAGTGTTGCTGTTTTGTTTCTGTGCTGCTCATGCGAGCCAATATATTTGAGCGTAATTGTTCACACAGTACTTAATTTTATTGACGGGAAATTTATCTAAATTTTAAGTTATGTTGGGAAAATCTAAATTGAGGCAACATAAGATCCTATTTGCTAGTGCCATGAGCAGTTACGCCAAATGAATAGGTCTGACGCGACCTTCTCTGATGCCAATCAGAGCAAAGCTAGAAATCTTTTTTTTTTTTTCTTTGGTTTGTTTTTCGTCGATCTTGTAAACCTGAGGACAAATGCTTCCAACGTCAGCTCCCACACCTGGACCCTACCTATCGACCCATCAACTCATGGACCGGGGACCAACGGCCTTACTTCTCTTCCGAAGGAAGACGTGATCAGAGATTTTATGCCTCAGAAAATCCCGGCGGTGCCGACTGGGATTGAACCCAGGCCTTTTGGGGTGCGATGCAATCACGCTTGCCACTACACCACCAGCGTCGCTAGAAATAAAATTGAAATCAGAATTTGCTGTTATGATGAAACTGATGAGTATTCAATCCAGTTGATCTTAACAAATGAGAGCAACATTTTACACTATTGAATCATACGGAAATCTAATCTTGCTTTCAATGAAGGCAATTTGATTACTGATTTTGCATTTACAATATTTATCTGAGTACGGGCCTGGCGTAATGGTTAATATCTCGCTTAATGACTTGAGCTCAAATCTCATCCCGGACAAGTCACAAAAGACCTTAAATGTTTTAAACAAAACAAATAAACAATAATCGTTAGTTCAACGACAGATGAACTTAAATTAAATTTTCAACAAGACGTTAACAGTAGTACTTAAAGTTAAGCAAATGTAATGAAAGCACAATATGATATCAGACTAATGTCGCGACGATTGAAATCAAATTGAATTTTCATAATGATAAGAACTACAAACTTTAATATCGATTTGCTTTCATGTCGTTAACCGACCTTGGTCGGGATCAAACTTTGTTTAATTGTTTGTAATGGGCAATCATTTACATTTGTGCTAAAATTCGGCAATTTGAATTTCGCAAAAAAAAAACCTTACGGTTTCCAACACCTTTATGGTGTGAGAAGCATATGAATGACCATGATTGTAGAAAATGTTCGCCATATAGCCATCTAACCGCAGTCGGAAATGTAAATGTCGGGCTATTTTCGATACGTGATAAATTTTCATCATCTTTGCTTATTAAATGGACAAAACCAATCGACATCATAAACTCCATTCCAAAACAAACATCCTTAAAATGCGTCGTCAAATCAGTTTGTGAAATTGCAAAAAAAATATGAATTTTTGGTGTTATGAAGATTTAACTAATATGGAGAAACATCAACTTTCTTGCCTTCCCTTTTCACATGGAATATCCTGCACTATCCGGTATTACAAATGGTTATCAACTGCCCAAAGATCCTGGTGATTTACTTTACAAGTTTCAAAACAACTCCCTCCCTCCCTACACAAAACTAGCCCCGCACGACATGTATATTAAAAACTTTGTCTCTGTAATAAATACAACTAACTAAGTGACTATGTATAACTAACTTGAAAGAAATTTGTTTTTAGCAATCAGAGTGTTAATTTTTACCGGCTAGATTATATTGTTCTGATTTACTTGATTTCTTAAAGCATTACCGCTCAATTCCCATCAGACTTCCTATCTAATAACATTTCAATATTCTCTTTCTTTATAGAACCAAATCATCAAGGCCGCTGCTGCCAATCAAGCGAGCACTGACAAAGGCTCCAATGGTGCCAGCACCGCTGAGGAGGATGCCTCCGGTGAAAAAGACAGTGCTACCGCCGGTCTGGTGGCCCTGCGCAGGGACAATCACCACAAGGACAGTGCACTGAATCAGTGCATCAATGAGCTTACCTCGAATCTACATCAGCGTCGCTGCGTTAGTAGTGACGTGTCATCCCCCACCAAATCCTCATCGATGTCCTCCTCATCCTCGCCTACGTCGACGATGATCACCTCGTCCTCCGGGAAGACTGGTGTACCAAGTAGTGCCAACCCTAACAATCAGCAACAAGACAGCACTTCCGAAAGTGAACAGTCCCGGTCGCGACGTTCCAGTCAAAGCGATGCGCTCCTATCGTCGCCCAGTCATTTTGTAACAGTAATTGAAGTTAAGGAGTCCGAAAGCGCTTCCAAGCCGGAAGAATCCAAACGCAACTCAAGCGCTGCCACAACGCCGGCATTGCCGGTAAAAACAACTAGCGACAATAGTAATAACAATCCAACCACAATCATACAATCCACGACCACTGCCACTGGCAAGCCTAACAATTACGAAAACGTACTGATTAACACCAACCGTGGCAGTTGTGAGAATTTAAACAATAGCAGCGGCCCGTTGTACCAAAAGTCACAGCAGATCAACAATAACAATTCCGTGAGCGAGCATAGTACATTCCTGACGGATGCTGGGAAACATCCGAAGCCATCGGCACCACCGCTGTCGATAGCCGAACGAACTTCACAGCTCATTTCCGGTGCACAGGACCTCAAAAAGAAGGTTCCACCACGGTAAGTACTGATCTGTTAATTTGATTTGAATTCTGATATTGAAAACAGTAGCTTTTCACCCATTAACATTATCACTGCCAATTTGGCGAAATGACAAGGGCAGCAAGACCAGAGTCTAAATATGCTTTCGATTACAAATTTAAATGCAAAGTTCTGATGCTTTTCACACTTTTCTCGAACTTCGCAAATAAGTATACATATTTATTTCACCATAGTACATCTACTCTCGGTGAGTGCCTCATTTGCTTAACATTTTAATACGAAATCGAGAATGTCACTTCCTAGAAAAAGGAAGATTGCATTGCACAGATCTCCAGTGACAAGTGCCTGAGAGAACAGGTTCGTCGTACCGTGACCTACTTACGACATACTCCACCACAGCAGAGCAGCGCAGCACTCCCTGTAACTATCGTCCGGGCTTGCACACATCCTGACACGGTTTCCATCTCTCGAAATGTCAGACTTTGCGCGATCGTGACTGTACGGGGAAACCAGTTTCTTTGACTGGATTCGTTCGAGCTCTTTTGTTTTTGTTCCAGTCCCATTTCTCGTTGCTTATGTCAACAGAAAGAGAAAAGCGAAAATTTAATGATTGCCCAATTTAGCTATCGGCTAGGAAGGGTAAGGAATGAATACTTTTGGAGGGTAAAAAATGTCCGAACTGGATTCATACATTGAAAGGGACACTTACGATAAGTCTGAAAATGAACAAAAAATCGTCATATTGAAGGAGAATGGAATGAAGAAACCGGTCACGTGACCATACTTTTCAGATTGATATTACGCTTTTTGTTTAGCATTCGGTCAGGGGTAGAACACCCTGCGTGCAGGCCAAATAAAGCATGTCCCTGTATGAACGCAGGCATATGCTTGCCACTGCGAACATTGTGTACATGTGTTTCATTCATAAATTTTGCCATGGCGACAAATGGGTCAACACATTCGGTGGTCATTCGCTCTTGGGTGAAACCTTGCTCGGATTTTTTGAACTGTACATTATTAAAGCAGAAGCAGTTTATGAAATTGGCATGATATGCATTTATATTTTTAATGATAACGTTAAAATGTTGAAATGTCTACCCTGAACATCGCAAGTCGCACAAAAATCATCAAATAGAGTCACAGTGCACATTAACTTTGATTATCTCAACAAGATTTTGAATTAAGTAAAATTTTACATAAACTTTTTAAAACGCATGACCAAGCTGTCTGAATTTCTGCGACCCATCTATGAAATGCTCTTCCTGTGTTTATTTTTTTACATAGGATTACGTCTTCCAGCAACATATTGGGGGTGCAATTCCAAAAAAAAAACAAAATCGAACACGTTACGGAAAGTGGTCAGGGTTTGACCACTAATACCTCTGTCAATAGTGGATGTAGTTCTAAACAAGCCAATCGATTGGAAATATTTCTACAAATCTGCTAAAATTAACACTTTATTAATTTTCAATAGGTCACTACTGCAAATTACACAAATGTCCAACTGTTCAAAAATTATCACCAATTGCCTGCAAAAACCACTTTCCCTAACACAGATTTCATAATATAATTCCATCCGGTCTCACCGAACGGTGCTTATTTAATCACTGTGTGTGGTGGTGTCCGCTTGGTCGTCATCAGCAGCAGCAGTAGCAGTGCTTTCGGCGCGTGGCGTTGAACATTGTTCTCAAGTACACAATGAAAGGCTTCCCGCAAGCAGCAAACTCCAGCCCACATGAGCGTCCATTCACTGAACAAGAAGGAAGAAATCGCACCGCTACTGATCGGATTCAGTTGCTCGTCGTGAGCCGCCGCTGTGGGCCATCTATGTCAAGCGGGTCATCCTCGTTCTAAACAACATACAGCTCACCATGTTGAACACCCTAACAGCTCAGCATTACTCAACTATCACGACAAAACGGTTCTTTTCAGGACCGCCATAAATTATTGTTGCTTAAGAGTTTGCATAATTTTCATCGAACGTCTTTTCGCCTTCATGTCAGCCACATCACCCCCAAAGCTCTTTGATAATGTACCCAGCAACCAAACGTTTGTGGTCAAATGCGTAACAGTATTGAAGTGCTACATAAAAATTCTGTTCGAATTAAGGTAAGGTTTTCTCCAGGACGGTGGAAAAAAGCATGAAAATCTCGAATTTATATGATTGGTCGTGAATGGAACATTTTAGCAAGAAATTCATCTAATCAATTTTCGCTTTTTTTATTATCTATTGAATAAACCAAAAATTCCGTGCATTTTATGCTCGAAAATGTGTACTTTTGTCATCAGAAAATTAGCCGTTTTCGTGATGGGAAAAAGTGCTTTCCCTAACACACACATACATTTATTTGTACAACATCACATTTAAGATAAGACATAATCAACACTTGTCCGGCATTCTTGCAACATGCCCTGCCCAACGCATCCTTCCGGCTTTGGCCACCTTCTGGATGCTGGATTCGCCGTAGGGTGCAGCGAGCTCGTGGTTCATTCTTCGCCCCCACTCACCGTCCTCCTCGAGCATAGTCCATGTATCGTGTCCATAGAGGACCACCGGTCTTATTAGCGTTCTGCAATGGTACATTTGGTGCGGAGGTGAATCTCTTTTGACCGTAGTTTCTTTTGGAGGCACGACTTCCACTGATGATGCGCCTTCGTATTTCACGACTCACATTGTTGTCAGCCGTCAGTAAGGATCCAAGGTAAACGAATTCCTCCACTACCTCGAAGGTATCCCCGTCTATCGTGACATTACTTCCTAGACGAATCCTGTCATGTTCGGTTCCGCCTACTAGCATGTACTTTGTTTTTGACGCACTCACCACCAGTCCGACCTTTGCTGCTTCGTGTTTCAGGCGGGTGTATAGTTCTGCCACCGTTCCAAATGTTCTTGCGATAATGTCCATGTCGTCCGCAAAGCACACAAATTGACCGGATTTCGTGAAAATCGTACCCCGGCTGTTGAGCCCGGCTCGTCGCATTACACCTTCTAGAGCGATGTTGAAGAGTAGGCATGAGAGTCCGTCACCTTGTCGCAGTCCCGGCGAGATTCGAATGAACTGGATAGTTCACCCGAAACCCTTACGCAGTTTTGCACACCGTTCATCGTTGCTTTGATCAGTCTGATCAGCTTCCCAGGAAAGCCGTTCTCGTCCATGATTTCCCATAGCTCTGTGCGGTCGATACTGTTGTATGCCACCTTAAAGTCGATGAACAAATGATGCGTTGGGACCTGGTATTCACGGCATTTCTAGAGGATTTGCCGTACGATGAAGATCTGGTCCGTTGTCGATCGGCCGTCGATGAAGCCGGTTTGATAACTTCCCACGAACTCGGTCATTTTAGGTGATAGACGACGGAAGATGATCTGGGATAGCACTTTGTAGGCGGCATCCAAAATGGTGATCGCTCTGAAGTTCTCACATTCCAAATGGTCGCCTTTCTTGTGAATGGGGCAGATTACCCCCTCCTTCCACTTCTCCGGTAGCTGTTCTGTTTTCCAGATCCTGACTATCATCCGGTGCAGGCAGGTGGCCAACTTTTCTGGGCCCATCTTGATGAGTTCGGCTGCGATACCATCCTTACCAGCTGCTTTGTTGTTTTTGAGCTTCTGAATGGCATCCTTAACTTCGCTCAGTGTGGGAGTTGGATCAGTTCCGTCATCTGCTGCATTGACGTAGTCGTTTCCTCCATTGCACTGGTATCCCGTGCCTACGTTCTCCTCGCCATTCAGGTGCGCATCGAAGTGCTGCTTCCACCTTTCAGTCACCTCACGTCCGTCCGTCAATAGACTCCCGTCATTATCCTTGCACATTTCGGCGGGATGCGTTGAGCTTCTGGTAGAGCTTCCGTGTTTCTTGGGAACGGCACAGCAGTTCCATTTCCTCGCACTCCGCTTCTTCCAGGCGGCGTTTTTTCTCCCGAAAGATACGGGTCTGCTGTTTCCGCTTCTTTTTATACCGTTCCACGTTCTGTCGGGTTCCATGCTGCAGCATTACCGCCCGCGCTGCGTTCTTCTCCTCCAAAATCGCTCTGCACTCCTCGTCGAACCATTCATTCCGTCGATTTCTTTCCACGTACCCGATGGTGCTCTCGGCTGCGTCGGTGATGGCTGCTTTTACTGTACTCCAGCAGTCCTCTAGAGGAGGCACATCGAGCTCGCCCTCCTCTGGCAACGCTGACTCGAGATTCTGCGCGTATGCTAAGGCGACATCCGGTTGCTTCAGTCGCTCTAGGTTGTACCGTGGCGGGCGTCGGTACCGTACATTGTTGTTGACGAAAAGTTTTGGGCGCAGTTTGACCATCACCAGGTAGTGGTCAGAGTCGATGTTAGCGCCACGATAGGTCCTGACGTCGATAATGTCGGAGAAGTGCCGTCCATCAATCAGAACGTGGTCGATATGCGATTCCGTCTGCTGTGGTGATCTCCAGGTATAACGATAGGGGAGGCTGTGTTGGAAGAAGGTGCTACGTATGGCCATGTTCTTGGAGGCGGCGAAATCGGTGAGTCGTAGGCTGTTCCCGTTGGCGCTGAACTTTCCAATCGTCGGTCTGAATACCTCCTCCTGGCCTACCTGAGCGTCTAGGTCTCCTATGATGATATTGACGTCGTGGCTTGGGCAGCGATCGTACTCGCGGTCGAGCTGCGCGTAAAATGCGTCCTTGTCATCATCAGTGCTTCCGGAGTGAGGGCTGTGCACGTTGATTATGCTAAAGTTGAAGAATCGGCCCTTGATCCTCAACCTGCACATTCTTTCGTCGATCGGCCACCAACCGATCTGCATTTCGCCCATCACGATGAAAGCTGTGCCCAGCTCGCGTGTGTTGCCGCAACTCTGGTAGATGGTATGATTACCTCTAAACGTTTGCACCATGGATCCTGTGCAGCGCTACGATGCCGAATCCGCGGTCGTTTAGAGGTAAGATTGGCGAGTATTCGGGTGCTCCCGATGAAATTGAGAGATCGACAGTTCCACGTGCCGAGTTTCCAATCGCAAGTCCTATTTCGTCGTTGCCGT